ATTCAGTGGAAGGGATATCCCCTTTCAGAAGCCTCCTGGGTGGGGGCGGGAGATGTTCACGCCCCTCGGCTAATACGGGCATTCTATCGGCGCTGGCCAGGGAAGCCAGGACATGCACAGCATGGCCGGGTGAACTCACTGTTTTATCCTTCCCTTACAGGTGAAGACGTGGTAGGGGAGGCCGCATGTCAAGCCCCATGGGGCTTGCCATTCGGTGGGGGGAAGCGGAGGAAAAACCCCATCACCGCCAGTCCACGCAGTCAACAAGCCCATACGTCCTGGCGTCTCGCCGGTCGCCGCAGAAGCTGCAGGGGCCGGCGCTGAGCGCTCCACCGGCCAGCTGAGCGTCGGGGACTGGCCAGCAGCACCACATGACTATTGCCCCTCGCCGGCCACCGTAGGAGCTGCAGGAGGCGGCGCTGAACGCTCCGCCGGCCAGCTGAGCTTTGGGGACCGGCCGGCAGCTGAGCAGACGGACTCACCTACCTCTGTGCCTGCAATGGTATGCTCCGCCAACCACCTGGGGATAGAGACCAAGCCCTGCGGGACCCAGCATCACAGCACTAGGAGAAGGCATGGAGAGCTACCCCGGCTGGAATACACTGAACGGCCACTTACCAAATCCGAGGGAATCAGACGTGAGGCAGCGGCAGGCAGACAGGCGCTGGACCAAGGGGGGTGGGGCTTCACAGGAAGAGTGATTAGGTCACAAGGGTGGACTTATAAGGGTGATCAGGCAGATGGTGGTTTGTGGGGGGAGGTGGGGATGTGGGCGTGGTCATGTTATAAAGAGCACTGGGAACAAACCAGTCCCAGTGCTGACTTTGTTAGTTAGGCAGTGAATAAACTTCCTGACGTGCACTGAGTTCCTGCGTTCCTGGTTTTCATTCCGGACAACTAAGGACTTGGATTGACACTCCGGCTCTGATCTCACTGGCAGCTATCTGGGCTTTTGGAGGGGCGACGACTGGAGCTGTCTCTCCCCGCGAGGCTGGAGATGATGGTAGGTGGCTTCGAGAACAGGGAAGCTGCTTGACCTGTGCAGGTAGGGCTGGGACTTCCCCTTGGCATAAGTTGGTGGCTGCCTTACCGATCATCATGATCGCTTGTGTACGGAGAACGGGAGAGTTGTTCTCCACTTTTCATCTCTAGCTCCTCAAATCTTTCCACCAACTTCTCCACTGATTGACTACAGACTGCAGACAGGTACTTCCACTGACCCGAGTCTTCAGCGGTAGTCAATTTCGTGGTTCTCCACTGGTCCGGGGAACGTGACTTGCAGCTCGATCTCATTGCCTTTGAAGCACATGATTGTGGCAAGGCCGACTTGAGGTGTCTAGAGTCTCCACTGAGTAAGGTCCATCCTGACGACCAGATCGGCTGTCCTCACGGCTTGGGTCTTGCCCCTTCTGAGAGACCTGAAAATGTTCCTTCTCCATTGGCGCACTAGCCTGCACTCCCTCCTCTGAGGTAGCAGCCACTGTCAGGGTGCTGGTTTTAGGCGCTCCTTCCTTCTTCATGTTGAGATCTTCCCCGAATCTTTGTCTGTCTATTCCTCAATTCTAGGGACAACGACTGGGGCTTGGGACTCCAAGATAGTTAGATAAAGATTGGAGTTTTGGTTTAATGTCATGGTTCCAACAGATGAAACTCTTCATAAGAACTTTGAGGCATTGTTTACCTTAAAGAATCTTTATTTGAGAAACAAAGTATCGGTACTACATAGTCGAAACCAAAAACTAAATTCCCCTCCCCTGGATACAAAGTATCAAAGCACAATTCCATCCTCCAATAAAAAGTAATAAATCACATTCCCCTATTAGCTTGAAGCGCGGGCTTTCTCCCCAGCTCTCCAGCCCACCAAAACTCTAACTCTGGGCCCAATGACCTGGGATTCCCACAGCTGAGTTATTATTGTTATGACTAGCTGGACTCTCATCCACATTCCCCCTCCCAGCATCAACTAGCTCTAGAAGCAATAGGAAAAAATGGCTGCATTTCCATCTGTTGTCAAAGGAAGAACATCTGATGTTAGCAGCATTGACAAGTAGTCAGTAAAATTACTATGGAACTAATCCTGGAACATATAAGCATTTTTCAATCTCTAAAATAATGTGGTGTTTTCATCTAAATTGTGTATTAATAATGCTGGGCCAAATGCTATCAGGATGTTTAAAAGTTTCAAAACAAATATTAAAGGTAGGTTCTCATGACCCTGGCAATTTTTACATATTAAAATATTAGGCTTATAAAATTATTTGGAACTTTCAGTATTTTCAAGCTGCCCAGCATTTTCAAGTCCTCTTTAATATGTGCTTTACAAAAGTTATGTTGCATTTGTTCAATGAGACCCATCGTCTTTTCTTGTTCTCTTTCATCACCAGATATTTTTTGTCTTATTATCAATGTAGAAAGTCAGCACACACACACCCCAGAGAAGGAAATATTTTTGGGGGTATTAAAAAAGACAGAATATTGTATTTTCCCAAAGGAATAATGGGAGAAAATCTTAAAAGGCAGAAACTTCTCCCTTTCCTCCAAGCAGAAACTGAGCAGGCCAGCTCTGTAGAAATGTGGATTAGATAATCCTATTCAGAAAGACTGGGCAACCTATTTATAAGCAAAATGCCTTTAGCCACAACCCAGATTTGAGCTGATGGGATTAGAAAAACAAAGACTCCCAAGGACAGAACATGACCTTTATGATATAATTGGATTAACCCACCACCATTAGAATATCAAAAACTCAGGTCAAAGTACATGACACAGGAACAGGAACAACCCCAAGCACAAAACCCCAAAAAGGTATAAAAACCCACCCACTCCCAGCTCCATTTTGTCAGCTACGTCAGAAGCATGCTGTGTAACTGAAGTTTCTGGCAACTAAATAAACAAGAACCTTCTTTCCTAAGCACTCTTCATTTTCTTTATTCCTGGCTTGAACTGGACCCTGAAGATTTTTCTTTCAACACCAGAATCCAGCTTCTCTTTTTCCTCATCTGTGGTGTCCCTATTTTGTTGTGACTGGTTTATCTGTTTCTTAAACAACTGCAGTATTAATGTCTTTTCAAAAGGCTTCCTACAAGCTACCCATCCCACTCCAGCTCTCCATCTTTTATCCTCTGTTCTCCATTTCTATGTCAGACCAACAATGCCTCTTCTGGGAAAGGAACCCTGGATGTACTAAATTAAGAGCTAAGGTAGGTTCAGGAAGCAACCCTTTAAAACGGGCAGCCAGTAATTATTTACTAAGGCAAAATCATGGCTGTGAAAAATTTTGGGGCATGTGCTTGTTTCAAGCCTGACTGAAAGCTCACAAAAAGTGACATCTAAAATGGAATTGCTATAGAATATTGGATACTATAAATTTCCTTTCTACTTAACAGAACCTTTTCCCTTGGCTGCTAAACCTTCGTGAGTTGAAAGCTCTTCTTTTGGGAACCACAGCAGGGATCCTTTTTTGCTGCCCCTATAAATGCCTTCCCATTGCCATTAACAATTTGAGAACTTGCTTCCCTGTATCCTGGAGAAATAAAAGCATCCATCAAGTGTCTCTGATCAAATCAATTCTTAATCTTGTGCCAGTAAAAGTGTACCACCCATACTTATATGGCACAAAGGTGGGGGGGGTTCTATGAAGGCCCGGTCTCCAGATTAAAATATTCTTTCTTCTTGATATTAAAAAAGAGGCAGAATATTATATTTCCCCAAAAGAGAAATGGAGAAAAAAATCTTAACAAAGGCAGAAAGCAGGCCCAGTCTATCTGCCACGGGAAAACAGCTTCAAACTAAGAAAGCTGAAGAGGCTGGCCTTTAGGAATGCAGTAGTTCGAATCCATTCACGAAGACCTGGCCAATCTATTCATGAACAAAACCCTTCTAGCCACAGAAGGCTGGAGTTGATGGTATTAAGAATTTACACTCCCCCCCACACACACACTCCCCAAATTCTAAGAATAAGACATGACCTTTAGGACATAATAGAATTTACCTATCACCATTAGAATAGCAAAAGAACACAAGGCTGACTATGTTGCACAACTCTCTGGAGCATCTCAGTCAGAACCCTATAATGATCCATCCACTCAGTCAACCATTTTGTCAGCTGTCCCAGAACTGCATGCTGTGTCGCTTCTGACCAATTAAAAGCCATTTTTTTTGAGCTGCTGTTTTCGTTTTTCATTTCCTGAGGTTTGCCCATTACTCCCAGCTGAGGACCTGAGCCGATTTCTTCAAACACAACTGAACTGTAACTCCTAGGATTCATTTCCAGAATATTAATAGTAAAAGCACCATTATGCTGAACAAACTGAAATGAAAAAGGATCACTTACTGTAGCCTCTCTATCGTACATTGTGGATGTTTGAGGCCCTCAAAAAGAATTTCCATTGCTCTTTCATCTGGGTTCTTTGGGGACAAGCATAATTCTCTCTATCTCTGGTTTTCCTTGAATACTTCTATAAGATACCTCATATAGGATTCATTTGTGTTCTCTCCTCCAATAACTTTGATAAATAACTTTGGTAGCCATTTTAAAGGAACTGAAGGAAATCTGATTATGTGTTTCCAACTGAAATGTTTCTCCCATGACATATTTTCAGAATATTACCCATGAAAAGACCTCTACGCTGATCAATCAGAAATGGAAAAGAATCACTTACACTATTGTCTCTATTGTACATTGTGGATGTTTCAGGCCCTCACACACATCTGAGTTGTTTAGGAACAAGCATAATTTTCTCAATCTCTGTTTTTTCCTGAATGCTTCTGTAAGATGCCTCATGTAGGATTCATTTATGATCTCTCCAGCAAGCCTGCAGAGAACACTCTGAAACATTACTATTATTTTTTGAAAATCAATCATGGAAGGCATTTTATAGAATGTATAGGAAATTGATTGAGTTTCCAACTGAACTGTCTCTCCCAGGACATGTTTCCAGAATATTAATAGTGCAATGGCCATTATGCCAATCAAACTGAAAGGAAAAAGCATCACTTACAGTACCATGTCTATTGAACATTCTGGATGCTTGAGGCCCTTACACAGAACTTCCATTCCTCTGTCATCTGGGTTATCGAGGTTCAAGGATAACTGTCTCAATCTGTGGTTTTGCCTGAATACTTCTGCAAGATTCCTCATGTAGGATTGATTTTCGATCTCACCACCCAGCCTGCAGAGAACAGTCTGAAAAATTAGTTATTTCTTGAAAACAACCTTGGTAGGCATTTTATAGGAACTGAATGAAATGTGATCATGTATTTCCAATGGAACTGTTTCTCACAGGATATATTACTGAAACATTACCCATCAAAGGAGTATTACTTCAGTAAAACTGAAAAAGCATCACTTACTGTAGCTGCTCTATTGTACATTCTGGATGTTTAAGGCCCTCACAAAGGACTTCCATTGCTTTGTCATCAGGGTTTTTGAGGGACAAGCATAACTCTCTCAATCCCTGGTTGTTCCTGAGTACTTCTGTAAGATACCTCATGTAGGATTCATTTGCGGACTCTCCATCAAGCCTGCAGAGAGTCCAAAAAAAATACAATTATTTATTGAAAAAAAGGATACAAGGTATTTGATAAGAACTGAAAAAAATGTTATTAGGTATTTCCAATTGAACTGTGACTCCCTGGATACATTTTCAAAATATGAATAGTCAAAGGATCGCTATGTCGGTCAATCAGAAATGAAAAAGAATCACTTACACTAGTGTCTCTATTGTACATTCTGGATGTTTGAGGCCATCACACAGGACTTCCACTGCTCTGTCATCTGGGTTCTTTGGAGAGAAGCATAATTGTCTCAATCTCTGGTTTTTCCTGAATACTTCTGTAAGATGCCTCATGTAGGATTCATTTGTGTTCTCTCCACCAAGCCTGAAGAGAACAGTCCAAAAAACTACAATTATTCCTTGTAAAACAAGAATGGAAAGCAATTTATAGGTATTAAAAGGATCAAAGGATTGTTACATGGGTCAAATTGAAATGAAAAAGAATCACTTACTCTAGCCTCTCTATTGTACATTCTGGATGTTTGAGGCCCTCACACAAAATTTTGATTACTCTGTCATCTGCATTATTGAGGGACAAGGATAACTCTCTCAATCTCTGGTTTTTCCTGAATATTTTTGTAAGATGCCTCATGTAGGATTCATTTGTGTTCTCTCCACCAAGCCTGAAGAGGACAGGGTCCAAAAAATTACTATTATTTTTTTGAAATACAACGTTGGTAGCCATTTTATAGGAACGGAAGGAAATGTGATTATGTGTTTCCAAATGAACTGCTTCTTCTACGATGTATTTCCAGAATATTACACATGAAGGACGGTTACACCAGTCAAACTGGAATGAAAAAGGATCACTTACTGTAGCTTCTCTATTGTACACTGTGGATGTTTGAGGCCCTCAAAAAGAACTTCCATTGCTCTGTCATCTGGGTTCTTTAGGGACAAGCATAAGTGTCTCAATCTCTGGTTTTCCTTGAATACTTCTGTAAGGTGCCTCATATAGGATTCATTTGTGTTCTCTCCTCCAAGTCTGCAGAACAGTCCGAAAATTTCCAATTATTTCTTGATAAATAACCTTGGTAGGCATTTTATAGGAACTGAATGAAATGTGATCATGTATTTCCAATAGAACTGTTTCTCACAGGATATATTACTGAAACATTACCCATCAAAGGAATATTACTCCAGTAAAACTGAAAAAGCATCACTTACTGTAGTTGCTCTATTGTACATTGTGGATGTTTGAGGCCCTCACACAGGATTTCCATTGCTGTGCCATCTGGGTTTTTGAGGGACAAAAACAACTTTCTCAATCTCTGGTTTTTCCTGAATAGTTCTGTCAGATACCTCACATAGGATTCATTTGCGATCTCTCCATCAAGCCTGCAGAGAACATTCCGAAAATTTACAATTATTTCTTGAAAATAGGCATACAAGGTGTTGTATACTCAGATCGGTGAAGCATTGAAGAGACGGGAGTGAAAGTAACAGTTCATTTACTCAATCATCACAGAAGCGGCCCTAACAGCCGCTTGGCTCATATTTATAGGGACCTTCACTCGGCGGCAGCCAATGATTTTAAAGCATACATTCCTGCCTAAAACACAGGCTTGCAATATACAACAAACAGTTAAGGAATTGAACTGAACATCTAATTAACTGTTTAGAACAGTCCTTATAAATCACATATCCAGAAAATGTACATAATCTTGTAGATAGGCAGGCGGCTTCCGCGACTGCTCTGATCGCCGTATCTCTGCCTGCGGTTCCCGGTCTACCCTCAGCTGACTATCTTTTTGGCTGATCGGGCCAGGTAGACCAGTCTCTCTTCGGCTCATCTGGCCGGGGAGACCGGTGCACATGTCTGTGAGTGGACCAGTCCCAAAAAGACTGTGAGACAAGTCCGCAAACAAGTTCTGTTCTGTGGGCATGGTCCCTGCAACTCAACTAAGATTGAGTCGTCCTGCATGTCTCTGTGAGTCTCTCTAGCCCCAGGAGACTCAAACGCGCCGCAGCTGTCAGGCAGCTCCCGGCTCTCCTCTTGGTCGGCGGCCAGGGTATGATTAGCCTGCCGCCGACGCAGTTGGTTGATGTGGTGGCACAAAACATGCCCGTCTTCCAGGACCACGCCTTATGACAGTGGTCCTGATACTTGCAAATCACAGCTACCACCCACGGCGCCCCTCAACCGTAGTTCCTTCCCAAACTTGGTCATCCATAGGCTATCCTGTCTCTGTTGCAACTCGGTCCAGATGGAGACAGTCCAGCTTCGTAGTCAGCCGATGTTCCCATCTCAGTTCCTCTGGGCTATGGCCCATTGAAGTGCATGGAGTTGTGTGTTGGCAGAGCAAAAAGTCTGCCGATGATGCCAATCACCCAACATGATCTTTTTAAGCACTTCCTTGGTCATCCTGACCATCCTTTCCACTTGACCATTAGAGGCTGGGTGAAAGTGGGCGGAGGTAGCATGTCTAATCATGTTAGTCCTTAAGAAGGACTGAAATTCAGCAGCAGTAAATTGTGCCCTGTTATCTGATACTATTACATCAGGTAAGTCATGTGTGGCAAAGATTCTGCGCAGTTCCTGGATGGTCCTGGCAGTAGTCATAGAAGGGACAGGTGCTACCTCAAGCCACTTGGAGTAACTGTCCACTACAATGAGGAACACCTGTCCTTGAAAGGGTCCAGCACAGTCTATATGAATCCTAGACCAGGGGGTTTGCGTGGTCTCCCAGCGATGTATTGGGGCTTGAGACATCTCAGGTCTGGTCTGCTGGCAAACCTGGCATCCTTTAACTTGACCCTCTATCTCCTTATCCAAGCCTGGCCATCACAGGTAGCTTCTCACGAGTGCCTTCATCCTGACTATTCCAGGGTGTCCCTCATGCAGAGATTCTAAGACCCTTTCTCTTAAAGTGCGTGGGACTATAACCCTGCTTCCCCATAGAATGCATCCCTTGTATGCAGATAGCTCATCTTGTTTTCTGATGAAGCTGTGAAATTCTGTCCCAGGACTGGTTGCTGGCCACCCCCTCAGCACCCAGTTCAAAACACGACTGAATGTTTTGTCAGTGGCTGTTTCAACAGCCACATCATCTGCATGAAGGGGAGATTCTGGCAGATCCTGAATTGATAGGATGCGTGCAGCAGGTGCGGGGTCTGGTTCTGAATTAGGCAGGGGCAACCTGCTGAGTGCGTCAGCATGGCCCATTTCCTTGCCAGGCTTATGGACTAGCCTATAATTGTTGGCTACCATAAATGACCACCTCAGCATCCTTGGAGAAAAGATCTGAGGGGTCTGCTTGTCTGCAGTAAACAGACCTAGAAGAGGCTTGTGGTCTGTAAAGACCGTAAATGGGAGATCATAAAGGAAATCGTGGAATTTCTTAATTCCAGCTACTGTGGCTAATGCCTCCTTATCAATTTGAGCGTAATTTCTTTCTGCAGGGGAAAGTGTCCTTGAATAATATGCTATGGGAGCTAAATGGCTCAAAACTGCTCCTATCCCGTATGATGAAGCATCACATGCAATACTGATAGGTAGTTTTTCGTTAAAATGTGTTAACACAGAGTCTGAAGACAGCAGTGATTTGACTGGTTTGAAACTATTTTTGTGGGCGCTAGTCCACTGCCATGGTGCCCTTTTTTCCAGGAGGCTAATGCAGTCTTGTGAGGAAGGAATGCATAGTAAAAATTTAGTAATCCTAAAAATGCTTGCAGCTCCCCCTTGGCTTGGCTCAGGGACCCTGCAGAATAGCCTTAAGCTTTGACTTCCGGTTTGCCAGCTGGCCACCATGGACGGCTGGGAGACTTTCTCTCTCCCTTGTTCAGTTTCGCACCTCTGGGGGGCTCTGAAAAGGGCCGAAAATCACCCTGAAGAGGCGACTAGCAAGGAGAGGTGTTCGCTGGATCGCAGGAGAGCAGCAACTCTCTCGTTAGAGCTAGCAATCCCTCCAAACCAGCGGACGAAAGGACCGGCCATAGAAATATGGCTTGTCCCTAGGCTGCAGACAGCCAAAGTCACACTCACCATCTGGCAACTTCAAAGCAGCATGGAAAGGACTTTTTTGCACCTATTCAAGCTGCTAAAGTACTTTCCCCCCTGTGGAGAGGGAAGGGGGATCTTAGCCCTCCCTCCAGGAACAGCGGCAATTGAATACACAGGGGAGCTTTTTTTTGAAAACGTTGAAGAAATAATTGGATCCCAACTGGAACTTTATTTCCTAAAGCTAGTGGATTAAAAGATTTTTGATTATCTACTTTTTACTTTTTATTTTCATTCAAAAGTCTGGGTTTTTCCTCTTAAAATAGAAGAAAACCCCCCCGAAATGATTACAATAACTTTGAGATTTAAAGGAATTCCTTAAACAGTGGGGTGAAATCTTGTGGCTAAACCTGAAATTGCAATTTATTATTCTTAAAGAAAAAAGACTTGGCTGACAGTTTAGAAAACAAGATAAGATTCATGTAGTAACCTTGAACACCAGCTGTGAGAGTTTTAGCTCTGTTTCTTATTTATTGGGGGGGGGGACTGTGAAAGTTTTCAATTCAACCCATTACTATGGAAGACCAGGAACAGAGTTTTCTTATGGAAGAAATGCAAAAACAAATTTTTGCTATGTTGAAAATAACTTACCAAGCTTATCAAACTCTTCTTAAAACTGGCGATGAAATAAGAGCTTTCAGGAAAAAACCAGAAAGCGTCGCAAACCCAAACTTTGACTATAACTAAAAACCTATCTATACAGAATACAACAGAAAAAATAGAACAATTAAATATTATGACAGAAGACCTAACTGCCCAACAAGTACAGACAATAGAAAATTCATACAAAAATCTGACAACATGGATGGAGGAAAAAACCTGCTATATAAATCAGAAGGAATTTGAAGATCAAGAAGAGAAACAGATGAAAGAAAAGATAAACAGTTCAGGACAACTACGTCAGGAGGAGAAAATAAAGAGACGATCTGGTAGTCCTGCCAGACCCCTCAGCCTTCCAAAAATGGCGACTGGATGGTCATCTCAATATGACATAATATATACAATAATAGAAGAAATTCTTGAGGACCCTGAAGCAAGGACATGGAAGATGATTTGGCAAAGAAAAAAAGCCAGAATAAGATTGAAGAAGAATGGAGTGTGGGGATATTTAGGAGGTTTAAAATAAAATATACTTAAATAGACAAGGCCCGTATTTTGAATACGAGATATTGTTATGATGTGAAGATAAAGAAAAATGTTGGCTAATTAAAACCTAGATGCATAAATATCAACAGTTAAATTGAAATATTGAGTTGTTTATAAAGGATAAAGATGATTAAGACATATATATGTTAAGAGTGATATAATGTAATTAACATACCTTGATGTAGTGATAAGAATAAAAATTATAAGCTTAAATATAAGAAAATGGATATAAGAAAGAATGCTGAAACAGGAGAAATTTTGGTTATTGAATCTATAATATTTGGAAATTATAATGAAAATAAGAATATTATATTGTATTACTAATCTGTTGATATAGAAATGAGATAGATAAGATATGTATCCGGAACACTAGATGTTGGGGGGAGTTGTGACAAAGGGAATTGGGGTCATCTAAAAATTTGGAAATGATAAATATTAAACATTTAATTTAAATAACGCAAAATTAAAGCTGGGAAAATTCATAAGGTTATTGATGGTCCAAAAGATGGAATGTTAAAATAAATAAGATATATAAAATGATTGATAAATGTAAGAAAGCTATTAAGTAGCTGATGGATAGAATAAGAAGTATACTAATTTAAACAAGAGACAGTATGTATTAAGGGAAAAAAGAGGAAATATTGGCTGTAATATTGGAGATTTGTATTAATACTTGTATGTAATGGAATTATTGTAACTCAGACACATGTTGCTTTTCAAAGATATAATTGTAACATTGGAAAATTAATAAAAAGGTTGTTTTTTTTAAAAAAAAAAATAGCCTTAAACTTTGATTCAGTGGGGTGTATACCGGCAGTATCAATCCTGAAACTAAGAAACTCTATGGAGTTCACTCCAATTTGACATTTGTCTCTTTTGAGCTTCAGCCCCGCTTCGTGAAAGCACTGAAGAACAGCTTTTAGACATTCTGCTAATATTTCTGCTGAACGTCGTCAAAATAAGGACACACACCTGGAATATTTTTCAGCATGTGTTCCATCATGCTCTGAAAGAGCCCTGGGGCTACACTGACCCCAAACTGCAGGCGACGAACCCTGAATGCCCCTCTGTGGGTAACTATTGTTTATGCCTCAGCAGTGGCATCATCCACAGGCGGTTGCTGATATGCCTGTGCAAGGTCCAGCTTTGCGAATAAGCGACCCCCCTGTAATGATGCCAGGATGTAGCTAACTACAGGTACTGGATACGCATGCTGCTGAAGTGCCTTATTAATAGTACACTTATATTCAGTGCAGATGCGCACCTCTCCATTAGGTTTAGCCGATGTGACTATCAACAGGTTGCAATACTCCCTGCTATCAACAGGTTGCAATACTCCCTGTTGAACGAGCTTGTCTAACTCTGCATCTATCTTGGGTTTAAGGGCGAAAGGCACTCTACGAGGCTTTACCCGGATAGGGGTTACAGTTGGATCAAGGTGGAGAGCAATTGGTGCTCCTTTGTATTTTCCTATGCTGGGGCTGAATACATCAGTAAATTCCTTTCAGATAGCTGCCAAATCCGCTGTTTGGGTTCTGTTGATGCCAGTCACATGGATGCCCAGGGCATCAAACCAGTCTAGGCCAATCAGGCTTGTGCGCTGGCCTTCGATTATCACGATGTTGAGGGGACCCTCAAACTCTTTGAACTTTACTTTTAACATAGCTTCGCCTTTAACTGCTATTGGGAATTTTGAAAATCTGTCAATATTAAATTTGACAGCTTGAGTCTAACTCATTTCCCACCATGTCTGCAGAAGTAATTAAAAGTCCTACAGGACATTATAAAAACAGCTGACCCAGTGTCCAGTTCCATTGAGCATGGAACCCCTTGTAGCTTGACTTTTAGTCTAAGCTTTTCTTTTAGGAGGCGATAGGCTGCAGTTCTGAGGATGCTCCTCCTTCCGGAGCAATATCCTACTCTGTTTTGCCCCGGGGGCCCATTACCTCTTCTGGGAAAGTCTTCAGGTGGAGATTCCCTGGCAACCATTACAGATGATAGTGATGTGGCCCTGTTTGCCACATGCTCGGCATACAGCCGTATGAAACCTGCATTCTGAGCACTGGTGTCGTCCTCTGCATCCAAGACAGCTAGGGAAGAAGGCTGCCTTGTCAAGTGGCCGCTGCCTTCTTCCTGGAAGCTTTTGCACCTGATCAATCTCAATGTCCTCGACTGGGTCATCTGCTCTCTCTGAATCTTCATGATGAACGGCCATCTGGCTGAAGGAATTCTTCGAAGGTTGTAAAGCCTTGACGGCTCCACCTGCAGCCTCTTCTACCATCACTTCTTTTAGTGCATCCTGGAACGTCAAGGTCTCCTTAGCAAACAGCCTCTGCTGTAATTCTCTGCTTCTCAGGCCACACACTAGTCAGTCCCTGAGCCGATCCTCTAAATCTAGAAATTCGCAGAGCCTGGACGCCTGTCGCAGGGCAGCCACAAATTCAGCCGCGGACTCCCGGGCTGTTGTTCTCTTTGCTCAAATGTGTGTTTCCATGCGATGATGGACAGTCATGGTTTGAAATGTTCTTTGAGTCTTCTTTTCAATTCAGCAAAGGTAACTGACTCCAACGTAGCAGGAACGACTAGATTCTCTGCTATATCAAAAGTTGCCTGCAAACGCACAGCAACGTTGCTGCCTTGAGACCGTCTTCCCTGACCTGGTTCGCTCTCAGGTAGTTTTCAACCCTGGAGACATACGAACTCCATTGTTCAGGGTGCGCTACGTCGAATTTGGATAGCTTGCCAACTTTGGCCATAGCTGGCTGTTATTGCGTCTCCAGTGCCTTATGCTGCTAAGGGCTTCTGTGCGAGTCCTAGGGACGTATCCCTTAGGAAAGTGATGCCTCTAGCATTGCTGGCTGGCAGGCAGAAGGGGGGAACGCTGTTCCTACCAGGGCTCTGATGCCTGGTCTTACCCCTTAGTGACTATTACCTCTTAGTCCTCCAGCTCTTTCTTCCTTAGCAGCATATCCCACCTTCGTCGCCACTGTTGTATACTCAGATCGGTGAGTATATCGGGATCGGCGAGGCATTGAAGAGACGGGAGTGAAAATAACAGTTTCTTTATTCAATCAACACAGAAGCAGCTCTAACAGCCGCTTGACTCATATTTATACGGACCGCCACTAGGTGGCAGCTAATGATTTTAAAGCATACATTCCCACCTAAAACACAGGCTTGCAAAAGGATTTGAACTGAACATCTAATTAACTGTTTATAATAGTCCTTATGAAACTAGGTTAATACATAACACAAAGCATTTTATAGGAACTGGAAGAAATGTGATTATGTGTTTCCAACTATACTGTGATTCTCAGGATACATTTCCAGAATATTAATAGTCAAAGCACCATTATGCTGATTAAAGAGAAATGAAATATCATCACTTACTGTAGCATCTCTATTGAGCATTCTGGATGTTGGAGGCCCTCAAACAGGACTTCCATTGCTCTGTCATTTGGGTTCTTTAGAGACAAGCATAATTGTCTCAATCTCTGGTTTTCCCTGAATGCTTCTGCAAGATGCCTTGTGTAGGATTCATTTGTGATCTCACCACCAAGCCTGCAGAGAACAGTCCAAAAATTTACAATTATTCCTTGTAAAACAAGGAATAAGGCATTTTATAAGAACTGAAAGAAATATGATTATGTGTTTCCAATTGAACTGTTTCTCTCAGTATATATTTCCATAATATTACCCATCAAAGGATTCTTTCGAGGGTCAAACTGAAATGAAAAAGCATAACTTACTTCAGTCCCTCTATTGTACATTGTGGATGTTTGAGGCCCTCACACAGGACTTTGATTGCTCTGTCATCTGGGTTCTTTAGGAACAAGCATAATTCTCTCAAACTCTGGTTTTTCCTGAATACTTCTGTAAGATGCCTCATATAAGATTCATTTGTGTTCTCGTCAAAAAGCCTGCCGAGAAGAGTCCAAAAAATTACAATATTTTTTTGAAAAACAAACATGGAAGGGCTTTTATAGGAACTGAGGGAAATGTGATTATGTGTTTCCAATTGAATTGTTTCTCCCAGGATGTATTTCCAGAATATTACTCATGAAAGGACCATTACACCAGTCAAACTGAAATGAAATAGCATCACTTACTCTAGCCTCTCTATTGTACATTGTGGATGTTTGAGGCTCTCACACAGGATTTCCATTGCTGGGTCATTGGGGTTTTTGAGGGACAAGAACAACCCTCTCAATCTCTGTTTTTTCCTGAATACTTGTGTAAGATATCCCACATAGGATTCATTTGCGATCTCTCCATCAAGCCTGCAGAGAACAGTCCGAAAAATTACAATTATTTCTTGAAAAAAGGCATACAAGGCATTTTATAGGAATTGGAAGAAATGTGATTATGTGTTTCCAACTCTACTGTGATTCTCAGGATATATTTCCAGAATATTAATAGGCAAGGCACCAGTATGCCGATTAAACAGAAATGAAATATCATCACTTACTGTAGCACCTCTATTGAGCATTCTGGATGTTCGAGGTCCTCAAACAAGACTTCCATTGCTGGGTCATCGGGGTTTTTGAGGGACAAGAACAACTCTCTCAATCTCTGGTTTTTCCCAAATACTTGTGTAAGATATCTCACATAGGATTCATTTGCGATCTCTCCATCAAGCCTGCAGAGAACAGTCCGAAAAATTATAACTATTTCTTGAAAAAAGGCATACAAGGCATTTTATAGGAACTGGAAGAAATGTGATTATGTGTTTCCAACTCTACTGTGATTCTCAGGATACATTTCCAGAATATTAATAGGCAAGGCACCATTATGCCGATTAAACAGAAATGAAATATCATCACTTACAGTAGCATCTCTATTGAGCATTCTGGATGTTGGAGGCCCTCAAACAGGACTTCCATTGCTCTGTTATCTGGATTGTTTAGAGACAAGGCTAATTGTCTCAATCTCTGGTTTTCCCTGAATACTTCTACAAGATGCCTTGTGTAGGATTCATTTGTGATCTCACCACCAAGCCTGCAGAGAACAGTCCAAAAAATTACAATTATTCCTTGTAAAACAAGGAAAAAGGCATTTTACAGGAATTGAAAGAAATATGATTATGTGTTTCCAACTGAACTTTTTCTCTCAGTATATATTTCCATAATGTTATCCATCAAGGGATTCTTTCGCGTGTCAAATTGAAATGAAAAAGCATAACTTACTTCAGTCCCTCTATTGTACATTGTGGATATTTGAGGCCCTCACACAGGACTTTGATTGCTCTGTCATCTGGGTTCTTTAGGAACAAGCATAATTCTCTCAAACTCTGGTTTTTCCTGAATACTTCTGTAAGATGCTTCATATAAGATTCATTTGTGTTCTCGCCACAAAGCCTGCCGAGAAGAGTCCAAAAAATTACAATAATTTTTTGAAAAACAAACATGGAAGGGCTTTTATAGGAACTGAGGGAAATGTGATTATGTGTTTCCAATTTAATTGTTTCTCCCAGGATATATTTCCAGAATATTACTCATGAAAGGACCATTACACCAGTCAAACTGAAATGAAATAGCATCACTTACTCTAGCCTCTCTATTGTACATTGTGGATGTTTGAGGCTCTCACACAGGATTTCCATTGCTGGGTCATTGGGGTTTTTGAGGGACAAGAACAACCCTCTCAATCTCTGTTTTTTCCTGAATACTTGTGTAAGATATCCCACATAGGATTCATTTGCGATCTCTCCATCAAGCCTGCAGAGAACAGTCCGAAAAATTACAATTATTTCTTGAAAAAAGGCATACAAGGCATTTTATAGGAATTGGAAGAAATGTGATTATGTGTTTCCAACTCTACTGTGATTCTCAGGATATATTTCCAGAATATTAATAGGCAAGGCACCAGTATGCCGATTAAACAGAAATGAAATATCATCACTTACTGTAGCACCTCTATTGAGCATTCTGGATGTTCGAGGTCCTCAAACAAGACTTCCATTGCTGGGTCATCGGGGTTTTTGAGGGACAAGAACAACTCTCTCAATCTCTGGTTTTTCCCAAATACTTGTGTAAGATATCTCACATAGGATTCATTTGCGATCTCTCCATCAAGCCTGCAGAGAACAGTCCGAAAAATTATAACTATTTCTTGAAAAAAGGCATACAAGGCATTTTATAGGAACTGGAAGAAATGTGATTATGTGTTTCCAACTCTACTGTGATTCTCAGGATACATTTCCAGAATATTAATAGGCAAGGCACCATTATGCCGATTAAACAGAAATGAAATATCATCACTTACAGTAGCATCTCTATTGAGCATTCTGGATGTTGGAGGCCCTCAAACAGGACTTCCATTGCTCTGTTATCTGGATTGTTTAGAGACAAGGCTAATTGTCTCAATCTCTGGTTTTCCCTGAATACTTCTACAAGATGCCTTGTGTAGGATTCATTTGTGATCTCACCACCAAGCCTGCAGAGAACAGTCCAAAAAATTACAATTATTCCTTGTAAAACAAGGAAAAAGGCATTTTACAGGAATTGAAAGAAATATGATTATGTGTTTCCAACTGAACTTTTTCTCTCAGTATATATTTCCATAATGTTATCCATCAAGGGATTCTTTCGCGTGTCAAATTGAAATGAAAAAGCATAACTTACTTCAGTCCCTCTATTGTACATTGTGGATATTTGAGGCCCTCACACAGGACTTTGATTGCTCTGTCATCTGGGTTCTTTAGGAACAAGCATAATTCTCTCAAACTCTGGTTTTTCCTGAATACTTCTGTAAGATGCTTCATATAAGATTCATTTGTGTTCTCGCCACAAAGCCTGCCGAGAAGAGTCCAAAAAATTACAATAATTTTTTGAAAAACAAACATGGAAGGGCTTTTATAGGAACTGAGGGAAATGTGATTATGTGTTTCCAATTTAATTGTTTCTCCCAGGATATATTTCCAGAATATTATTCATGAAAGGACCATTACACCGATCAAACTGAAATGAAATAGCATCACTTACAGTAGCGTCTCTATTATACATTGAGGATGTTTGAGGCCGTCACACAGGACTTCCATTGTATTGTCATTTAAGTTATTTATTGAAAGTAATAAGTCTCTCAATCTCTGGTTTTTACTGAATACGTCTGCAAGATGCCTCATGTTGGATTCATTTGCGATCTCTCCATCAATCCTGCAAAGAATAGTCCAGAAAATTACAATTATATTTCTTGAAAAACAAGCATGAAGGCACTTTATAGGAACTGAAGATAATGTGATTATGTGTTTCAAAGTAAATTGTTTCTCCCAGGATATATTTCCAGAATATTAACAGCAACAACCATTATGACAACCAAATTGAAATGAAAAAGCATCACTTACTGTAGCCTCTCTATTGTACATTGTGGATGTTTGAGGCCCTCACACAGGATTTCCATTGTTTTGTCATTTAAGTTCTTCATTGCCAGGAATAAACATCTCAATCTCTGGTTTTTCCTGATTACGTCTGCAAGGTGCCTCATGTTGGATTCATTTGTGATTTCAATGCTGCAGAGAACAGTCCAGAAAATTACAATTATTTCTTGAAAAACAAGCATGGAAGGCATTTTATAGGAACTGAGCGAAATGTGATTATGTGTTTCGAAGTAAATTATTTCTCCCAGGATATATTTCCAGAATATTAACAGCCCAACCACCATTATGACGATTAAACTGAAATGAAAAAGCATCATTTACTGTAGCATCTCTATTGTACATTGTGGATGTTTGAGACCCTCACCCCGAACTTTCATTGCTCTATCATCTGGGTTCTGCATAATACTCTCAATCTGTGTGTTTTTCTGAGTACTTCTGCAAGGTACCTGCTGTATGATTTTGTGAGGATCTCTCCAGCAATTGTCAAATGTTACAGGCAGTTCATTCCTAACTTTACCTACAGCATTAAGCCTCTCATGTAGTTGTTGAAAAGAAAGCTAGGTTTGCATGGACAGAAAGGGAACAGTCAGCAATTGAAGAGCTAGAACTTCCTAGGCCCTTCTTGACCATCCTGACCCTCCAAAGCAATTTAACATTCAGACAGATGCATCGGACATTTCTTTGAGAGCTATTCTCTTGCAAGTGGATGAAGAGAGGTAATTAATAGATTTCATCTTTTACTCCAGAGCATTAGCACCCCTATAAAAATATTATGAAATCATTAACATGGAGTTGCTTAGCTTTAAAGGTAGCTTTTGGGCAATGGAAGATTGCTTCTTTACTAGTGGAAATCTGGACTGACCACATGAATTTGGAGATATTGCAAACTCTCAACCTGTATTCTCTAGGCTTCCTGAGGTGGAGCCAGTTTTTCTCTCACTTTGACCTTTATATTGCTATGTTCAGGACAGCATAATTTGTTGCCATAAGCTCTGTCTCAAGCCTAGGTATTCACAGGTTCAGCACAAACCCACATCAAGTTTTTTCAACCTTGTAACTTTGGTCAGGCATGCAAATATTGCCTGAGAAATGTTGGGGCAGTTCGCCAGAATGAAGACTCAGCAGCAGCAAGACTGTTATTGTGGTACTGAATGGATTCCTTTAGGACACCCAGCAAAGTACAGTGTCATCTTTTTCAGTGGAAGAGGGAAGTGCTGCTGCATAAGGGCAGGACCTTTTGCCAGTAACTTTAAGGGAAGAAGTGCTGCAATTATGCTATGACAGTGAGATGGCACAACATAGAAGGATATTAAAGACCTTGCACAGAAAGCTCAGAGACTTTTGGTGGCCTAGGATGGAAGCTAGCGTCAAAGACTATGTAGCTTCCTGCCAGATATAAAGGAGGCTGGCAGGACTTTAGAGTCCCTACATGGGAGGCTGGCAGGATTTTTACAGCCCCTAGGAGCAGCCCCTCCTAGCCTTAGCATGCAGTGTAAATTGACATGTAAATTGACTTTATAATAGACTTACCAACAGTGGAGGGTTATACACCTATATTGGTGGTCATAGATCTTTCCCACCAAGTTGGCACATTTCATCCCTTGCAAGCATTTGCCAACATCAAGGGAAACAGCTCACCTTTTTTTGGCTCATGTCTTTCATTATAGAGGAATAGTTTTCAGATTAGTTTCTGATCACATACATCAATTTACTTCCAGATTCTGGAAAACATTGTTCCAATTTTTGAAGGCCCGATTATAGGCAGCCCTCGACTTACAACAGTTCATTTAGTGACTGTTCAACGTTACAACATCACTGAAAAAAGTGACATATGACCATTTTTCACACTTATGACCATTGCAGCATCCCCATGGTCATGTGATTCGGATGCTTGACAACTGGTTCATGTTTATGACAGTTGCAGTATCCCAAGATCATGTGATCAATTTTTGTGACCTTCTGACAAAGTCAATGGGAAAATCAGATTCACTTAAGAACCGTGTTACTACTACTAATCACCAATTGCAGTGATTCATTTAATAAACGCGGCAAGAAAAATTGTAAAATGAGGCAAAACTCACTTAACAAATTTCTCACTTAGCTACCTAAATTTTGAGCTCAATTGTGGTTGTAAGTCAAGGACTACCTGTAGCCTGTCATCAGCCCATCACTCTGCTACAAATGGAAAAGCGAAGATAACTAATCTGATGTTGCAACAGTATTTAAAATGTTATTGTACATACAGCCAGAATAATTGGCTTTCATTACTACCATTGCCGAATTTGCATATAATAATTGAATACAAAAATCAATTGTGATGACATTTTTTAAATCGTTGTATGAGAGACATCCTCTAAACAGGGTCTCATCCTTGGGGCCATTGATTTTTTACATGAGCGACTCACTGCTCAAACATTGTTGAAAGAGCAGCTAGACCAAGCTCAGTAAATGCTCATTGATAAGAAGGGCTGACAATTGTGGAGAGGGCAACGTATGGCTGGTCATAACATTTTTAACTTTTCCCAAAACCTAGAAGAAGATACAAACAAAGTTTGTGGGCTCTTTTAAGTTTGTGCAGCAAATCAATGTGGTAGCCTTTCATTTGCAATTGCTACCATCTTTCATCATTCTTTGCTGGTGAAGGAGGCACTCCCAAGCACTTTGTAGTCATGGCAGCCTCCATTTCCACTCCCCAATGATTACTAAGGTGAAGAGGAGTTTGAAGTGGAAGAAATATTGGAGTTTAGGGGGTGGAGAAAAGGAATACAATTTTGATTCACTGGAAGGGCTACCCAGAAGCAGAGGGATCATAGAAAATGCAAGGTACGTGCACACGCCAGAATGGAAAGAACTATTTCATCAGTGTTTCTTAGACAAGTTAAGGTCTTCCAATCTCTCAGCACCTATTTTGATTCCAGAGCCTCAGGAAGAACCAGTGAGAAAAGGACTTAACTTTACAGAGGGGAGTCCCTCTGGAGGGAGGTATTGAGGCTGGCACAACTGTCAAGGTAATTATGATTTGGTAGCTGACCAGCAGAAGTGATATATAGACAATGAGTCAGCAGAGTATTTGGGGGTAGTATCTGTTATGTCCTGAGCCTTGCAAGCAGGCTCGGGGCATTGCAGGCGGTTCCGGGCAGGTGCAAGCTGCCCGGGACCAGACAGGCTGTTGCCAGTGCTTGTGCGCATGCGCAAGTGCTGGCACGCGAAAAGTAACACATTGACCTGGGAAAGTCCTATAAAAGGAGGCTGCGAGTTTTGGGCATTGCCGCCATATTCCAATGTAAGCTGAACTGAAGAATAAAAGGTTTCCTGAGAACTACAACTGCTTCTCGTGTCTTACCATTTCGCGACGGACTCAACACTGGCGACGAAGGTGGGATGCCTTACATCGAAGAAGAGAAGGTGTAAGCTTACCCGAGTGAGTCCGGAGCGGCAGGAACAGTGTTGACTCGGCAGCTACCCGCCAATCCAGCGTGCATTCAGGGGTAGGCTGGCTGATAGACCCTTCCTGATACGAAAATGGCAAAGATTGGAAGGCTTTCGGAATTCGACGTCTCACATCCAGAGAGGTGGGAGTCCTACGTAGCCAGGGTGGAAAACTACCTCAAGGTGAACCAAGTGAGGGAAGATAGCTTGAAGGCTGCCACCCTGCTGTGTGTCTGTGGTCAAGACGCCTTCAAAATCGCGGAGAACCTCGCAGCATCTGTCCCTTTAGAGTCTGTCAGCTACGCAGATCTAAAGAAGTTACTGAAGGAGCACTTCCAGCCTAAGATGTCTGTCATCGCGTGGCGCCACACCTTCGAGCAGAGGGATCAACGACCCGGAGAATCGGCCAAAGAATACATTGCCGCATTGAGAAAGGCCGCCAAGCACTGCGAGTTCAAGGACCTCGAAGAACGACTGAGGGACCGATTCGTGTGCGGGCTAAGGCATCAAGAGTTACAACAGAGGCTTTTCGCCAAAGAGGTCTTGTCCTTCCAAGATGCCTTGAGAGAGGTCACCACAGAAGAAGCAGCAGGCGGCGCCATCAAGAACATGCGGCCGATCAGGAACAGTCCAGATGTTGCATCCGTGCACCAAGAAGAAGTCCAAGGGAACTTTGAGGAGGATCCGGATGAGGAAGTCGACCGTCTCCACCCCACGAAGGAAGGGAACCAGAAAGGAAGCTCTTCAGCTCCCCTCAAGTGCATCGGTTGTGGAGGTCGCCACAGGAGAACCAACTGCAAGTTCCGCTCCGCTATCTGCCGGGCGTGCAGAAAACAAGGACACATTGCAGCTGTGTGCCTGGGCCGTCAGAAGGTACAACCTCAGGAAGAATTGCGCCTGAAAGGTACCAGGGTTCCCAGCCAGAATAGGGTGGAGTTTTGCGCTTCGCGAAGAAGCATCTACAGGACAGGCACACACAAGCCCATTAAGAAAAAGCTGTCACTTAAGGTGAAGCTACAAGGGGTTCCATTAACTATGGAACTGGACACGGGGTCTGCACTTTCGATCATTTCTATGCACATATTTAGGAAGATTTGTTCCGGCAGCGGATCCAGGCCAAGTTGAGGCCTTCTGACATTGTGCTAACGGATTTTCAAAACTCCAGAGTGTGTGTTAAGGGGGAGGCCACCCTTAACGTACAGTATAAGGATTTTGAGGGTCCACTAGACCTACTAGTAGTAGAGGGTGAACGAACGAGTCTCATAGGACTCGAGTGGTTTGAGGCCTTGGGGATACATGTCACAGGGCTCAACAGCCTACAAACACTCGACCTACAGGAAGTCTGCAAAGAATTTGCAGATGTTTTCAGCCCCCAGCTGGGCACATTCAAAGGACCCCCTGTGTCGTTAAAGTTAGACCCCACGGTCACTCCCATTAGAATTAAAGCAAGAAGGGTCCCTTTTGCTTTAAAGAGTAAAATTGACACTGAGTTGGATAAACTGATCCAACAAGGAATTCTAGAACCAGTTGACTCCAGTCCATGGGAGACCCCCATTGTCACGCCTCTTAAGGCAAATGGGGACATTCGCATCTGTGCTGATTACAAATGCACTCTAAATAAGGCATTGCAGCAACATGCCTATCCTGTTCCTGTGGTCAGTCATATCCTGGCCTCCCTCAAGGGGGGGCGCGTTTTTGCAAAG